ATCTTATTTTTAATACTATATTGAATTAGCTTTAACTAGTTAATATTAGAATTATTAAGCCAAATTTAGCAAAAACCTAGCATAAAACAACTAAAGATTTACTGCTTCAAATATTAGTTCAACAACTAGTATTGTTTCTTTATCATTTACAAATATTGCCAATTCGACTATAAGATTCATCTGATCTAACTATAAAGACCAAGTTTAGAAAATTCAAGCTATTATGATAACTAGTAGAGTTTATGTTTAAAAAGTCTGGATACTTTGTTAATATTGTTAGCATAATTGTAGATATGATGTCAAGAAGTATAGCTTACTCTTTAGAGTTTTGAGCATCCTTAATACTATATTGCTTTGATATAACAGTGTCTTTAGACTTATAGGTATCCATTATAGTACAAACCTGTTAGTAAATAAAAAATTAAATAAAGAAAAAATAACTTTTTATAAAAGCAGTTGGGGTCTTTGCCTTAAAAATAACCTTATAGTATATGATACTATAAAGTTATTTTCAAGACAAAGACCCTAGTTACTTACTTTTTTATATTCTAATATACTGTACTTGAAAAATATAGTTTTTTATCATATTTCAGAGCATTCTGTATTGTTTCAAAATTAGAAACAAACTAAGTAGATGTTGGTTGTATTTGGTTTTCTGGTATAAAAACAGTTGTATTTAAATCTTTGCACAATTCATTAATTCTAAAAAAAAAAAAAAAAAAAAAACAAAACCAATTAGCAAATTTGATTTTTTTTTTCTTCTTTCTTTTTTTTTTTTCCTTATTTATTTATTTTATTTTAAATAAAATTTTGCTCTATAACCTGTTGCCAATAAAGAAAGAGTTATGTTTGCCACTCTATTATTGTTTTTTTGATTGAATTTGCTATTTGAAGTGATTTTTTCTAAACATGTTTTGGATCATAACTTTTATAATATTCAATATTATATAAATTAAGAGGTTTGTTTTGAAAGACTACAATCTGACTTTTTCAGATACATTTGCCTTTGTGATACCTATTTTTTCAAGAAACATAATTAATATTTCACAAATTTTTATAAAGCTAAATACATTAGTATTTTTTATTTTATATACCCATATAGAATATCCAAAATATTATGTATATACAAATATTAACTTAGATAATTGTTTTGCATATTTATCTACGAGTATAATAGTTTTTATATCTTCTTCATATAGCTTAACATTTTGAAAATAATGAGTTTACTTCACATATAATTTATACTTATAAATATAAATAAACAAAGCATTATCTTATCTAACTCTTATTTGTATAGTCCTGAAACAAAATTTTATAACTTTTACCAAGAGTACTACCTTCAGATAATACCACATCAAATGTATATAAATCTAATACTGAAGGTATATTAGTAAGTGACACTTGTATATATTGTATATTTAGAAGTAACAGGTGCCAAGTTATTTTAAACTTAATAATATAGCTAGTAGACAATAAACATAAATTTCAAATCAACTATTATTTATACTAATATATAGTATTTGTTTTATACCTACTTCCTTATAGTAGATAGTGAAAGGAAGTTCCAAAAAAGGTATAGTAACATATATTATACAAATATAGAATTTCATACAACTAACCTGATTAATACAAGTTTTTGCAATAAAGTTAAAAAACATAAGTATAAAAGTAAGTTTAGTTACAATACATGAGATGTTATAGACTATGTAATATATACAGATATAGTATTAAAAATGATATAACAACATAACAACATGTATATGCTGATAGTAGTCTGTGAAATTCAATTTAGATTTAATGTTCTTATTGAGAACATTCTTTAAATCTTTAATATTCTCAATATATTGTATATAAAAAAATTAAATTTATATATACAGTATTAAAAAATCTATTTAATATTCTTAGATAGAGAATATATTTTAATAAATTATGTTCTCAAAATTTGATTAGTGTTCTCAAAAAATATTGAGAACATTAAATTTCACATACTAGATATAATACTAATATAGTAATTAGTTTAGCAATTAAATTTTTTTTTTGATACACTAATTAAAAAAAAGGTTTTTCTCTTAAATAATACTATGTTATACAGTATTATACAGTACTATTTTTGGTATAATTAAAACCACTACCTATATGTATAGATTATGTCTTGATTTGTTTGTTTCATTTGGTAATACACAAGCTTTGATGAATACTGCAGCAATCATGATTTACAGTATGTATTATAGCAGAAAATATATGAAATAAAGATTACACATTAGAGATAAGCCAAAAGTAGCAATCTATTTTAAGCAATATGCATAGAATAATTACTATAAGTATTCTTAGCTATACAAGTAATTAAGAATTCACTTTATTAAAATTTATTTTAACATGTTACTATATAGTTTATGTATTATTTCTGTAAAGAGAGATTAAGATTTTATGTACTATATGATTATACATGACTATTATCTAAAAAATTTGCAGCCATGTAATATTAAACTAATTAAGACACTTAGATATAACAGATTGCTAAGTTTGCTCAAAAAATTGCCCATAAATCAAATTTTGCTTACAAAGCTATTTTATATATTCTAATGAAAAAATTTCTCAATTTTAATCATTTCTAATGTTATTCTAATACTAGAACTTCAAGTTACTTTTTTAATAAAAAATATTTTAACTTTAATTATTGATTAATGAAATTTAGTACAAATCATCACAGGCTATGAATTTTTTATTTAATAGATTAGCATTTTATATAATATATCAAGTTTTTAATTTATAATTTAGACAATCAGAAGCAAGATTAAGTGCAATGTAATATTAAAAATAGCCAGTACTTTATTTTTTTTTATTTGTAAAAGATATTAAACAATTTTCATATATGCAAAGGTAAATCAACATATTTAATTTTGTAGCTATCCACAGCAAAATTCTAATGAAATATATCTAGCTAGTATTTGTTATTAGAGTTAAAAATAATAAATATAAAGCATTTACTTGTTATTAAATATTTGCTAAAATAGACAATATTGATAAAACAATACTCATAAAAATCGTAATCAGAATTATAGCCTTAATAGAAAATAAAATATTACTAATAGATAATAAATATTAGTATCTTTACCAAAATAAAATAGAAAATATTTGCTAAAATAGACAATGCATTATCAGAATTTTGGCCTATAATAAATGAAATAATACTGTAGACTATAAATATTAATGTTCTTATCAATTCTAATAAAACAATGCTTTTTGGAAATTGTGATCAGAATTTGACTTTTATTATAAATAAAATATCACTAGTAGATAATAAATACTAGCACCCTTATCAAAATAAAGTAAAAAATATTTGCTAAAATAGACAATATGTGATCAGAACTTTGGCCTCTACAGTAAATAAAATATTACTAGTAGATAATAAATGCTAGCATCCTGATAAAACAAATACTCTTGAAAATCATAATCAGAATTTTGGTTTCTATAATAAAATAAAATAATACTGTAGATAATAAATATTAATATTTTTACCAATTCTAATAAAACAATGCTTTTTAAAAATCTTAATCAGAATTTGGCTTCTATTGTAAATAAAATATCAATAGTAGATAATAAATATTAACTACTATTACCAAAATAAAATAGAAAATATTTGCTAAAATAGACAATACATAATCAGCACTTTGGTCTCTATAGTAAATGAAATATTACTAATATGCTAATACTCTTACTAATACTAATAAAACAACTACTCTTGAATATTGTGATTAAAATTTTGGTCTCTAAAGTAAATAAAATATTACTAGTAGATAATATTAGTGTCTTTACTAAAAAATTCTAAAGGAGTTTTTCAAACTGTGATGATGATATTTCAATTTTACCTAATTCTATATTTGTAACTAGGCAAAATTCTAGAATTGAGTTAATAAATAATATGAATAGAAAAGATGAAATGATTCGTAAGTTTCATTAATGAAAAGAGAAAAGTTTAAAACATATTTGCCTAATAAAGTGATTCTTAATATAAAAAACTTACTCATTCTTATTGTTGCAAGGTTTGATCTACAGATTAACCTGCGAGTTGACCTACTTACTATATATTCATAGACCCATTCAGATCTATAATATAGGTAAAAGATTTTGATAAAATATAGAAGATCCAGGTATACTATAAAAAACAATATTAAAAAACCTAGGTATAATGATTTTCTTCACATAAAAGCCTCCCAACATTTGTAAAACAGACTTCAGATCTATTACTATATTGAAGATTCTAAAATTGGTAGAATATACCAAATCCAGGTCCTGTATATGCATATTTACAGTCTCTATCTGAGTCATGTAACTGTTTAAAATAAATAAGACTTATTAAATTAGTCGAGTTAGTGCAAAAAACAAAATTTTTCTTATAACTTATCTTTAATTTACAAAGCCACAATTAGTTATAGTAAAAATATACAATTTTGTATACAGTATATATAGTGTTAATCACTCTTATAAGTTTGGTAATTTGAATCTAATTATAATCTATAAGTTTCAGTTTATAAGTTCAGTAAAACAAAGTTGATACAATTATTCAACACTAAGTATATGAGATCTAAAGCTTATTATACTATATATATATATATATATTTATATATATAAGCAAAAGTTTATTATAGTATTTACAGATTTTATCTAATAAAAGTAGGTTTTATATTATATATAAAAAAAAAACAGATTTTATCTAATTTTTTTTTTTTTTTTTTGGTATTAAGGTAACCTTTTTGGTCTGGGGAACTTTTTATTAGAGTATAGACGAAGTTTTATATGTAATTACAACGATGGTACATCAAGCCACAC